AAAATAAAAGCAAGTACTTCTTTGATAGTACTGATAATAGTTTTACAATTTACAAGGTGGCTGTGGGAGGACTTCACTGTGTGAATCAGTGATTTTATTTATAACAGCAAGTAATTTCAGGACAAGTTTGTAACTAGGTTTTAATGCCCATCGCAGGTAGGTTTTTGGGGTTTTTTTAAGGCCATGGGCTTCTTTCTTCTGTTCTGTGCTTGACATATATGTAGCAAAATTGTTCAGAGAAGCTTGTGCCCTCTCTTCTGGGGGGCTCTCTTCACCCCATATCAGGGCAGTCACAGACACTGTCACTCCATGTTTTTTTGTGGGGTTTGCTTAAAGGGCTTGCCTAAAGTTCTCCCCATTCAACATTTATTTATAAGCAACTGAATAAGTATATTAAATAAGTTCTGTTTTGTGTGATTGCAGAAAGTATTATCATCAGGTTCTTTGCCTAATGACCTGATGGGTTTCCTTGGACACTTGATATGAGAATGAACTAGTGATTAATCCTTAGCAGATGACAAGGATGAGAAGAACACAGTTGTGTTTGTGTAGTTTCCCTTGCAGTGCTTCTGCCCTGGTGTCACTCAGCAGATGAGATGGAGTTTCTCCTCCTTTCCCAAGTACCAGTTAGAGCTGATAAATGTTAAGCAGACAGTCGAAGCTGTCAGTGCACAAGATGGAAGATGTTGAACAGACCTGTGGTGCCAAATAAATGGTTCCTGCCTCCCTTTAACCAGACAGATGAGTTGCTTCATTTCCTTCTGAGCAGCAGAACCAGTTGCCATGGACAGTGGGTGGAGGAGAGACCCCTTCCATTCATCCAGCTCTACTTTGCATCCCTTCCCTGGCATTGGCACCAGGCAGGGGTGGCCCCTGCCCTTCCCTGGTGCCCAGCAGGCCAAGGAGGAGAGCAGGGGGACAGTTGTCATTCCCTTACATGGTTGAGACAATCTAACACATAATTTGCAGTTTCTCCTTGATGTTCTCGTGACCCAAGGAGTTTCCAAGGAGATTTGGCAGTGAATTAAATTGGAAGGGCCAGAAGGATGCTGCCAAGAAAGCAGAAGGGGCAATACCACATGAAGGATGGGAGCATGAAGGGGTTTGGAATCCAGTGGCAAAACAGGCTGCAAATACAAGTGATTACCAAAGCTGATATTCCTGTGAAAGGCCTGTTCCATGTGTGATCAGAATAACTGAGGTGGGAAAGGACCTCTGGAGATCATCTGCTCCATTCCCCACACTCAAAAATCAGGCACAGGAGACACAGGGGTAACAAAAGCTTTGAGACACCCCTGGGAGGTGTGTGGATGCTGCACTCGTGTGTCAGACACGGCCCTGGGCAACCTGGTGGGACTCAGGAGTCGGATATAATCTGGAAATTGGCCTTGATTTGAGAAAGGGAATTGTACCAGGTAACTTCCCAAGGTCTCTTCCAACCTAAGTTATGCAATGAATGTTTAGTATTAGAGGCATAATAATGTTGTAGCATTTTTTCTTATGAGCATTGTGGGGTGTTAATATTTGAATGGTTCTCAAAACCTTTTTGTATATTCTCTATACCTTGTTATAATTTAACCTGGTGTGCCTGACTAATTTTCCTTCAGAATAAGAGCAGCAGAAGGTATTTTTTAATAATACTTATAAAAGAGAACGTGTGTTAACTGCCAAGTATTGTACTGGTGCTTACTAATTAATTTTCACAGAAACCTTGTTAGAATAGGTCAGTACAACTTTTCATTTTAGAGACAAGGAAACCAATGGGAGAGTAAATGGTTTCCTTGAGGTCACAGTTACGTGTCAGGGGTGTACATGTCACTGAAAATGGTTTCCTTTGCACTTTCCTCCAGTCTGTGCTGCCTCTCAGGAGAGGTTGGGTAGCAAATTGAAGGCAACTTGTTTATGGAAGTGCAACAGAATGTTAAAATTCAAGACAGATAAAATCTGCTGAGAGCAAGTCTTATGGGAATACTGACTTTTTACTGTGACATAGCTGAGTAAATAATTTTTTCCCACCTGTCTGCTGCTCCTTGTGGTGGTGATGTTTTCTGAGTAGATCTGAAAAGAACTCGTTGCTGAGAGGCAATTATGAATTAAAACTGGGAAAGCAAAAGCAGGGGAAAGCAAAAGCTCATATTTAATACATATATTCCTCTAGTGGTTTTGTTTGAGCAATTAAATGGGACAAAATTGCTGCATAGTGAAATGTCTGTTGCTTTTGCTGCTTGTTAAATATTATTCCTGAAAATAACAGTGTTGCTTCATCTAAACTGGGATCACATAAAATTCATAGCAGTGGAGCTTGTGACTGGCACTTGCATGTCTTCATAAATAGTGATTCCTGTGGACCAATGCAAAGATGGATTCTCAAAAAATCAGGAGAATAAGTGGTGAGCACTGATACAATTAAAGTCTTGCCTCCTGTAAGAGCTTGTGGGGAGTTCCCAGTCCTTGGTCACTGTCACAGGGTGGCACATTCCAATGAATGTCTCATGACAGTAGTTTTTTCATCCCAAATACAATTTATCCTTTGCTTACTCTTAAGTATTTTAAAACTTGTGTGGATGCCTGAGGGCCATGGAAAAGAGGGATTGGGAAGCAGCTCCACCTGGAGCTGGAGCTCTGGACTAACCCTGGTCCAGAAGCAGAGCTGGAGGTGTATCCATGACCCGGGAAGGGGAACAGCTGCACCTCAAGAACACTTTCTGCAGCCTGCAAGGAACAGCAGCTCATCAGCTGAGCCTTGGCCAAACTCCATCCTGAACACTTTCTAGCATTTCATGCTGGAAAGTATAAAAAACATGGAAAAGAAGAGAAAACAAGCTGTAGATTCAGGTGGTGTTGTCAAATAGAGATCTCTTACTAATGGCACAGCTTTATTTTATCTCATGTCTTTTCCCCATGAGTCTCTGGATAAAGGTATTGTCAGATACCCCTGGAAGGTTTTGTTGGATGGGATGGGAATTAACATTCTTTACCCTTGCTTTGAACATTTATACTCTTAAAAATAATGTACCATGGAGAAAGTGTGCTTTTGCTTCAAAAACTGCAAAGAAATTAAGGTTAAATTTTTCCCAAGTGAGGACAAAGCATCTTTGAAAACTGACTGTAGCCTTGTTCAGTGACCCAGAGACCCCAGCTGTTGGATATGGGACCAGATACACAAGGAGCTGTAAGATACCATATATATGAAGACATATTTATTAAAGAAAGGACTTAAAAGACCTTCTGTGTAGCCAAAAAATCCAGTTTAACTGGCTTAAACAATACAGTGAACCTTGTCCCACTCTGAATTACTACAACTTCTAGAAAGAGATCAAACAAAACAGCTTGAAAGTCAGTTTAAGGCAAAGCTTTGGGTGAGTAGGTGAGGGATTGATATCAAAGTACTTTGATGATGTTGAAATAAGGTTTAAAAGGAAAAAAAAAATTATGAGGCAGGGACTTTGTATGAAATCCTTGAGGGCAGCACTCATTGCAACGCTTGTAGGGTAGGAGCATGTTGCCTTCATTTAGCCTTTCATCCAGAAAAGCAGGACACCAAGGTGGAAATGAGCTGTGCATATGAATGACTCTGCTCTTTACATATGTAAAGCTTTACCCATTATTGATGTGCAGCCACAGGAACAGAAGAGTATGATATGACTTGTGCTTGGCAGCTGTGAAAGACTCTGAACTGCATGAGGATTAGATGTGAGCTGGAACCCAGTGTGAAAGGGACTCAGGGGCTTCTCCCAAAGACTGAATTCAGAGATTAGTGGGTAAACTGAGCTCCATAAAGCCAGCCTGGTTCTGTCCCAGTCTCCCACGTGTGCTGCTTAGGAGTGTGCAAGCAAAGGAACTTCTGGATCTTTTGGATCACTTATAGAAGAACAAACCAGCTACATGCCCATTCTTACAGTGGAGATGGGGTAAGGGTTGGATGGGGTAAGTTTATCTTGTGCAGACTCTAAGTAGGCATCTAAGTGTTTCATTTTGCCTGATTGCATCCCAGGCACAGTTAGATTGGCAACAGGAGTTCCCTTGGATAACCTTTGAAACGAACTTTAATTTGAACAGTGGGAAAAAAGCCCGAGTAGGGACAACAGAAGCTATTGGGATAAAGCAGCTGTGCAGGTGAGCATTCCTTGGTTCCTCAGGAGAACCGGAGCCGTCCCATGGAGTTGCGTCAGTTCGGAGTCAGTTGCTGAACATCAAACTTGTTTGCTCTCAGAAGAGTTTAATAATGTGGAAGTGCAGAGGGCTCCATCCTGCTGTCTCATCCAGGGGGATGCCAATGTACCTCTGCTGTCACATCAGAGTCACTGCATTTCACCTGGATGCCACGTGAGGCCCGGAGAGCCCCAGGCAGGTGGTGATGGTCAGAGCTGGGGCAGGATGGGGCACAGCAGGAAGCACTTGCATTTCTTAAACAATTCCCAAGGCAATGCACTGATGGAGTGGCTCTTTCTAAGGAAAGTGAATTTGTACATGACTGGATACACAACTGTAACCTGACTGAACAGTGAGTGACCAGAGCAGGCACGGAAAGCAACAGCAAGTACTTGGTACAATGCTGAGAAACTGCCACAGGTGCTTGTAAACCTGCTGAGCATTTTGTCACTGAAGACTTTTTGAAGACTTTAGTACTTCCTCCTTCTTTGGTCTAAAATTAGAGCCCAGACTAGAAGGGGAGCAGGGAGGAAATCAATACACTTTGATGGCAGTCACTAGAGCTGCGCTTTTTTAATTGAGGCAACTAAGAACTGGCTTCAGATGCTTTTGGCTTCCTCCTGCCTTTTATAAACTATGAGATACAGTGGAATTACATCTCCAGCTTCGCAGCACAAAGGATTAATGGATGTTTTAAACAGTACATAAAGCTGTCAGAGTGCAGCATAAGCTCATAACAATTTGTGTGATGACCTGTGGGCTCTCAGGTGCTGAGACAACAGCTAAACTTGTGTGGAGAGAGCTGAGAGGCAAACTCCATGTCACTGATGAAATATTTGTCTTTATAGGCCGGGTTTCCTTTTTCACCTCTGGGTCGGAGAACCTTCACCGTGTGGAGAAGGTTCACTGGGGCACTCGCTTTGCCATCACCATCTCCTTCACCTGCAACCCAGAGCACGGCATCGGGGATCCAGTCCTGGGGTGACTCCTCTGGGGGTGGAGCACGAGGGCAAATGGAAGGAGAGAAGCCCTGCAAGAGGAGAGGAAAAAGGGAGATGACATCTCTTGTTACCCCACGTTCAATGAGAATTGCCCAGCTGTATCAATGGATTGTAATACACTTTGTTTTCACGTGACCTTTTCCTTAAGGACCATCTCAGATCTGATGCATTCTGAAAATGGTTTGTTCTGTCCCAAAGGGACAGGCTACAAAGAGGAGTTCTTCACTGGGCTCTTCATTCTTTTTTTTTAGTACTATTTTTTGAAAATTCTTCAGTTTAAAAAATACAAACCATCTTTTGGGCCATGCCTTGATATGTCTCCCTATGCTGCTGTTACCTGTTTAATTCTTTAGCCTTTTCAGTTACTCATGTGATGTAGAAAGTTTAACCTAAGTTAATTGAGCAAGGTGAGTGTTATTTTGAACATACTTCCTCTTGAGAGGAATGGATTCTCCTGAGCATGGGCATTAATGGGCAGTACACCTGGGGTTTGGCTACTGGGACTTACTTGAACTTCTGTTTTAACTGAACTACTACTATTTTTTGCTACAAACAGGGACTAGTTAATACAAGGTCAGCAATGCAATTCTCTGGCCAGAAAGCCTATTGCTTTTGGACTGCAAATGCTTTGTGCAGGGAATGTCACTGCACTAGATCCCTTTGATCAGAATGCAGCATTCCCAGCTTGCCTTGTTTCCTTTGGATTTCCATGAAAATGATCAGTCTCCTGGTTGGAAGCCCAGTGTTAGGGTTATTAAGAACTGTTCATGGAGATGGCTTGACCATGTAACCCTGTACATTGAATCAAAATTCAAAAGGAGAGCTGGGCAGAGGTAACCAATCCTCTGGATTCATCTAAGAATTCCTCATTATCCAGTGCCCAGGAAGGGCAGTGGGTTGGGAGGGGAAGAGCTGAGAAAAAAGACATAGTTTTGTTGAGATTTGCCATAGGCCCGTCCTGGCCTCCTTAGACTCAGTCCTGCAAAGCCTGACTTGCTGCCTGGAGGGCTGGATCTCAAAACCTCCTGAGCCTGTGGGCTCTGAGGGAAACTGGTGTCCACCTGCAGTTGAATTGTGTCCAAAGCAATGTTTTAGCTGTTTCAGAAAGTCTCTCAGTAGCTATTTTTGGACTTCTCTTTTTCAGTTTAGCATGAAGACTTTTTTTCTGTTGACTAGGACCACTGGTATTCCCTGGATAATAAACTGCAGGGGAGCTGTGTGATTTGCAGTGCAGATAAAGGAACAAAGTGTAATCTTGCCAACAACCTTGGTTTCTTCCTGCAGTCAAAGATTTCTGTTGTGGGTCAGGGAATTGATAAATAAACTGTAGGAAAACATAATTTTTTTTCTCAGTCAAATTAATTAGCAAATGTTGATCTGTTATATTCCTGGGATGTATAATTTCTATGAAACACTGAAAATCTGGGAATGTGCTTTGATTTTTAATTTTTTTAAAAAAAATTCTATTCATACAGTTTTGATTCCTTAATCTACCTTTTTATGGAAATAGTAAGTATTGGGGGGATTACCCTGCAGATCAGTATAAAGAGGAATGGTGACAGGACACCTGGCCTTGTGAGTGCTCTCCCTGGGCACACCAGCAAGGTTAAGCCTCTGTCATTTGATTTCTTTGTTCTCAAACCTGAAAAAGGCTTCCTTGTCTGTGCTAACAAGGAAGGATTGTTAAAAATGCTGGATGCAAGGAAACAATAAAGTCAATTGCGTTTCCTATTGAAATCCTTGCCTCAAAGCCTGTTTATTCCAAGAAATTTGAATTACACCCAGGTTTTAAGTCTCTGTGAAGGCAGACCAAGATCACCAGCAACTGCTTTACTGGATTGAAACTTGATTGCTCACATTGCTTTGGGATTCAAATGTGCCTTTTCCAGAACAACACCCGACAGCAGTGGAATCTGAATATGAATGGAGCTGTGTGATTCACACTGGGATTCAGCCCACTCAAGAACTCCTCTCTGTAGCCTGTCCCTTTGGGACAGAACAAACCAAATCCTCACTCCACTATAAGGTTATTGCAGCCCTGGCACTGGAATTGCTGTGCCACTTGTCCACGTGTTTGCTGCTCACTCCTGGCTGTCATGCAGGCTTTGAGGGGCACTTTTGGAGCTGCCCTCTGTAAAATCCTGCTCTGCAAGGTCATCTCAGACCCTGGGGGAAGTCTCATCTCATCATCTCGGGTTTTCATCTTTGGCAGATCCTGGTATCTCCCACAGCCGGTGCAGCTCTCCTGCTGGGACCTGAGTGACATTCAGAAACAAAGTCAAGATGGTATTTGTCTTTGGGAGTCTTTAAGCTTCAGTAATCTGGTCAATATGATGAGCAAACCTGTCACTTGAATTTGCTGGATAATTGTCTGCTGCACCCGCTATGAGAATTTCTTTGGAAAAGAAGCACAATAATTCCATATGCTGTATGTTTTAGTCCCACTGAGATTCTTCTATCTGAAGCTTCAATATCTGGACTACAAAAAGCAATATCTAGATCTTGGAAGAACTTAAATGGCAAATGAGGAAGTAAAATGCAATCTAAAAGTTTCTGAATGCAGCCTACAGCAGGAAACCAGTAATTGCAGAAAGGCTGATGTTCCTGGGGCAGAGTGGAAGTTGCAGAATTCACTGATGTTAGAAATCAATTTGGCTTAATTTATTTTAGGCCCCTTAAATACCCTGAATACCTTTTTATTAAGGGTCTCTCTTCCCGGTTCTTGACAGATAATTCTGCATTTGAAATACCTGAATTTCCTTCTGTCCTCTCTGTGGTTCAGCTGCCCTTTGCTACTGGGAACTGCAGGGCTCTGGTTCTTAGAACTCTCATTAGGCCCAGGACAGGACTTGTTCTGTTCAAGTAGCACAAATCTGATGCCAAGCTGCTGCAGAGAAGTGCTCTTAATTAAACACATGGTGATGGCAGAATGTGGCTTGATGGTTCCCAGTTGTGTGAGGACCTTTTTCAAAGAGCCCTCGTGGTTAGAGAAAGGTCAGCACTTGTGCAGTGTGAACTGGGGCTGAGTCCTGATGGTAAAATTACAGCCTTGCACCTGAAGGTGTACCTGCTGCAAGTATTTGGGAACGTTGATTTGTACTTTAAAAGGAAATTATTTGTAAGGAAAGGGAAAGGCTGCTGGTGTGAAAAGTCCCAGGGTGAAATGGAAAATACAGCAGAAGAGCAAGCCAGATTTGAATCCCTACAACAGGACTGACTGAAGTCTCCTGAGGACTTCTGTGAAGTGGTGCTGCTTCTAAAACTAATTTCCATTCAAAGGTTTTGCAGAATATCAGGAACTTTTGAAAAATGAACAGGTATGTGACTGGATGATGTTTTCAGTGTAAACCTGCCTTGCATTACTGTAGCATTCTAGGAACTTCCTGGCATTTCTCAGGTATAACATTTTCATTGTGCAGGCAGCTGTGGAATCACAGGTTTTAATTCCCCTGAAGGTTTGGAAAGGTACATTTACGTTGAGATTTTCCTGAATATGGATTGTCCCCCTGGAATAAACTGCACTCCATCTTAATGAATGTCAATCCAGAAATGTTTACAAGGGTAATCTATTTACAAAAAGATTTTAATTTGGATTTATAGCAGAAATTTAGCTTCCTGTCTTACTTATTTTTAAGGTCAGCATCTCAGCCAGGTGCTTTCTGAGGCTGTAGCACATAATGATGTGCACATTAAAATAAATGTAGCTGAAATGGCATTGATGATGACTGTGCTGTCAAGGAAATCTGGTTTTGTTTCTTCAATTGCAATTCTCAGTACCCTTGAATGTCTCCTTTAATAGCTTTCCTTTCCCTGGTAAATGAAGATGACATTGTTTTTAATGTAATAGTTTCTCATGTTCCTCCCACATCCAGATATCCTTGCACAGTGTTTACAGGAGAATTGGTTCTCTCTGACATGCTCATGTGGAGCTTTGTGCAATACTTTTGTCCAAATTCTAGGAATTAACCCAGGAGATGCTGCTGGAGGTCAGAGCTCTCTGAGAGGGGAAGAATAAATACAACCAACCTCCCTCCTTCAAGGGAAAAAAAAAAAAAGAAAAATATATCCCAACTCCTGTCTCTCCTTTTTGAGTCTCTGGTGTGGAAATCCAAGCAAAAACATTCCAAGAGCAGCAGAAGAGTTATTTCCTCTCTGAACCACAGATGGCTCTGGCACATGGATGGTCTCAGCCTCATTCAGGAAGGCAGATCAGTCATCCTGGGAAACCCAGCTCAGACTCAGGCCTGGAGTGGTGGGGAATCCTCTGGTGAGTGTCTGTTGCTCCTTCTAAAACACCAGCAAGAGCTGTAACATCTCTGCCTTATCTTGTTTTTTGTAAACATTCTTAGGAAGCTGAAAGCTAGTTTTAGATCATGTTTGCTGAAACCTGCCAGTCATCTCTCTTTTACTGATCTTTAATTTATCCCCAGAGTATCTGTGTGGGCATTTTTTATCTTCCACGTGAGTGTTGGTGACTTCAGGCTGGACTGTGCAAAGAAAATAACTATCCTTTTTCCAAAGTGCACATCTTTGTGTGCATCAGCTCCCCTCCAGTCCCTCATTTCATATCTCACTTCCCTCCAAACACAGCTCAACTTTTACATGTAGGAAGAACTGAACAGGGTATAATAGTCCATTATTTATCCATTGACTGCCTTGCTGGGACTGAAGAGGAGCTGGCTTTTTCCTCTGACCCTTTTAGCCCATGTGGGGCATTAATCTTTAAGAAGAATTCCTAACTCAATTTTTAAGATTTCTCATTATTCAGCATTCATTTTTTTCCAGCTACTCTCTTATTTTTCTTCCATTACAGGCACTGTCCATATTTGAACCACCACTCTTTATTTCACAGATGTTTCTTTCCATCCTGCCTGTTTTCCTGTAAAGCTGAAATAATGACAAGGTAGGGGTCTGTTGTTGAGCACTCTTGTCTTTCATGATACCTTGTGGACAATGAGCAAGGAATTCTGAAACAGAAGCTACAGAAAGGAGGTCAGAGCTTGGGACTAACAAGAAATGTCTTGCTTGAATAGTTCTTACTGTGGAATCAATAAAGCAGCTTGGAAGTACCATCCCCTTTATTTTTGTAACCTTTAGGTGCATCTAAACAAAGGAAAACTATCAAAACAGCTGGGTTTAGTGCTGGATAATCCAGAGGCTGCCCAAGGGATCTGGACTGGTGGAATCCATGAGTTGCCATGTCAGACTTATTGTTCATAATGAACTGCACTGAGACCTTCACCTGAGACTTGAAGCTGAAGCTCAGTGATGTGAAGCACAGCAAGAGCACGTGCCTGAAACCACAGCACCTCTTTTTGAAAGAAATATTCTACTTAATATTCTATTTATAGAGAGAAGCTGGGATTTGTGGAGCTCATGTTACTTATTTCTGGGAATTTCTTATAACAGGCCTTCAGTGTTAAAAAAAAGCTCATTTTAGACACGGATACCCTTCCTATTCTTTTATTAACAACCAAAAAAAAAGCACCAACTAGGTTCCTGAGGCTTGATTTTTCTGGACAGACACCTCGAAGACTTGTCTCTTTCTCTTTCCTCAGTTTATACAATTATTTTAAGCTGTTTATGTAGGTGCCTGGACACTTTGCTGCTGACTCCACAGAAAAAAATCCTACTGTTTTCCTTTGAGAGTGCTTTTCACTGCCAGGGGAAGGTCTCTGGGTGGATTCCTACCTTGGAGGTGACCTCCTCAGCATATTAACTTGCCAGCCAGACCATTAAATCTTGGGGGAATAAACAAAGGCAGGTCCTAATGGAGTCATTCTGCATGTCTTGGCTCTGGATGGTGGTTCCTTCCATTCCCTCTAGCAGACAAATGTGTTTATTTCTGATTTATATTAGTGAGGAGGAGACATGTTCTGGGAGTCCTCCCTGCATAACAGGGCTTTAATTGTGATTCACTGAATAACCTCATAAAAAGAAGGCCACATTTTACCAGGTGATTCAGAACTTAAAGGGCTGCTGTGAAGTAACAAACCTTGAGCCCGTTTACAGTCCTTGCACTTCTCAACACAAAAGCAGTGAGAGAAGGGATCGTGCACTTGGAGGATTTCGACTTCACTAGGGGCCATAAATGTGTGTTTTCTTATTGGTTCCTTTATTTTAAAGGAAAATAATAAATTAATTTGGGAGTCATTCCTTTCCACAGGGACGAATATGATCAAAATAATCTGTGCTTTACTGGTATGGAAACAGAAATACAACAGAAGTAAGTCAAGCAGAGGGGTAAGTTAAATTTCAGACTGTGTTAGGCAGGGAGCAGCTGCAGGAGATTTCTCCCACACTGACATGTCTGTGTCAATTTAAATTGACATTTTCTCCTCCTCCTCCTCACTCTGCTGAATTGCTTCATTAGAAGATCAGACAAAGAGCTGCAAACTGAGAGTTTTGAGGCAGCAAAGCTCTTGCTGGTAAAACCTTCCATAAAACTTTCAACAGGACCTCTTCCTCAGTACCATTTACTTCAGCTACTTGTCTTGGCCATCAGGTGATATATGTATAGCATTTATTTTACTTTTTCTGAAACTAGGCAGAATTTAGACCTGTAAATAAGAAATAATCCAAGATTACATTCAAACTGAATTAATAAAGACATCTAGAGAAAGTTTCTCTTTGGGGGGAAAAAAAAGGTTTGAAAAACTTGGATTTTCTGGAACTCTTAAAAAAGAACAGAGTTTTACTGATTTGTTAATCCTTTAGTTGGAGTGTAGGGAGTATGCACCTGCTCTTCAGTACTCTCCACTGAGGTTCTACTCTGCTTTTCCATGATCAAACAGTGTCTGGAAATCCAGTCCTGCCCCTGCTCATTTTCCCTTTCCAATTACACATTTTGATGGAGATCTTGATCCATTCAGACCACGAGCAGGCACTTCTCTGCCTCAGCAGCAGCACAGAATAAATGCCTGTGGATTTCTCAGGAAGGCTGTTCCCATCTCAGAGTGCCCAGCTGAAAGCACAGCTCGGGATGAAGAGGTGAAGACTCACTCCTGTCACATTTATTAGCGCCTTGAAGTCTTCCATCATCTCAGCTGCTGCCTCTGAGCCTTTTCCCCTCAACAACTGGAACTTGAGACCTCTGGGCTTTGTTTTCTCAATGCTTTTAGCACCTCCAGATGGCTGTGAGGCAGTGAACTCCAGCATCCTGCAAAAATTATCACTTTCAATACAAGTTAAACACCTTTTGACTCTGTTGCTAAATTTTCACATAGGCTTTGGAGAACTTGTGCTCCTCCTAATCATTCTCCTTAGATTAAATACTTCAGCCATAAAGCATGCACGGAAGGGCAGCAATCAAAAGCCTCTCCATAGCTGAGCTGTACAGGGAGACATTTCTGAGATGTTCAGGGCTAAATTAACGATTCTGTCCTCTGGTCAGGCTTTGTGATTTGCAGGATCTGGGCGAGGCAGAAGGGAAGGTGTTTGATGGCCTGACCCTGGAGTGGGAGGTGTAATGGTTTTGTAGTTGTGGGTGCACTTCCAAGGCAATAAAGTTACAAACAGGGCAAGGTCATTAGGAACAGCAACAGCCTCTTGTTAGACCATTTGACAGAATGGCAAAAAACCCAGAAATCTTTGAGCCTTAAAGCCTTGTTTTTAATGAATGAAATGCAATGAATAAGCCAGTGGGTCAATTAACTTTAATACCATTGTTATTGTCTGCCTCTCCCCTGCCCATCAGCTGGACAGGGTTAATGACCTTGGTTTTATTTTCTTCCAGCTTGGATGGATGTGCAGGGGCTGGATGTGCAGCTGGAAGAAGACTCAGTCACTGCTTGCTCCAGACACCCACAGCTACTTCCCAAGTGCAGATGAGGGCTTGTTTGTACTGCAGAGGAGACAAAGGTGGGAATAGGACTAGGATACTCCAAATCTTTTAAATAAATAGATTTTAGTTTTCTAACACTGATGCCACGCTTGCTGAATGCATTCTGAGCAGTCCAGCTGCACCAGGCTGTGTCACTGAGGAGACGGGGATTTTGCAGTTGTGTTCAAGGCCCTGAAAGGGGAGGACAGCCTGTGTACATCTGAGCCAGCTTTAGTCATGGAGCGTGCCAGGGGTTCAGGTTTGCATCAGCATGACAAATAAAATCTGTCTCTAAATGAACAGCCTTGAAATTGCAGAATTACCATTTTGTTGGGAAGAACGCAGGTGTGGAAAGAATGCTTGACTTAATGAGCTTATCTAATCTCAGTCTCCTCCAGAAGTACTAGCCTGACTGTAAATATTAAAGTTCTTCTTAGAGATAATAGCCAGGAATGCTTCCTAACCACATGAGGATTTACCACTCCTAAACAGCTAAAAAGCTGAAACTAATCTGAAGTATGAAAACTCCATAAAACTGAGTATTTTGCAACACTGGTGTGTTGGAACTACTGTGCTGGGCACTTCAGCCAGCCCAGACAGGGATTTCTGCAGGAGCCTCAGGTGCTGATTGCTGCTCCTCTGTAACCCTGCAAAATAAGTTTCAGGTTGTTATTATGGTCCCTGGGTGAACTGCAAGACTTTTTGTAGTCTTTATCCTTCCTGGGGACATCTGAGAGCAAGGGAAGGCTCCTGCCAGGGCGGTGCCACCAGACCCCTCCGGTGCCCGGGGGTGCTCCCGTGTCGGCTCAGCCGCACGGCTCCTCTCCAGAGACAGTTACTCTAAACACTGGAGGTGGTGTTTATCCTCGGGGCCAGGACTCCATCAATTTGTCCAGTTTATGTTGGGAAGAGACAGTAAAACTGATGCTTACAAGAATTCTGTCTGCACCCGCTCCAGCCAAGAAAACCCTCGCGTCCCTCGGCCTGGGGACCACCCCAGGAGGAGGTTTGGGGTCTGGTGAGGGCTGGAGGGTTTGCTCTGGCTGTCAGTACAAAAGGCAGTGACAGCTGGGATGGGGAGGACACATCTGGAGACTCCAAGAGGTGGTGGCAGCAGAAGAGACCCTATTGGGAGATATTATTTGGGATTTTCTGTGGGACTCGGCTGGACATTGCAGGTGGTGGGAAGGGTGAGACCTCCTCCTGCTGTGGAGGTGCTGAGAAGGAGCAGTTGCTAAATGTGGGTAACACTGAGTGCTGAACAAGGTCTGACATCCCAAATGATACTTGATAGGAATTGATATCACGTGGATAAACAGGATGGGGAAAGGTAAACTCACTGCTGGCTCAGTGACTTTGGCAGAGGGTGGGATCCCTTCACCAGCAGAGACTGGAATAGCTTTGTAGAGACATCTCACACAGTATTGAGAGCTGAGATCAGTCTGCAGCCCTTCTCCAGCCATCCTTTGCTGACAGGGCTCTGCAGTTGTTGACTTTTTGTCCCTTCTTGGGTAAGGAAAGGAGGCTGATGGGAATTCATGCTGCCCTGGTGTGCCACGGAAAGATGCTTTGACAGGGACACTTAGCAGGAAGAAAAGATCCTGACAGCATTGCTGTCATCCTCCTCCCAGCACAGTACCCCCAAAATCCAGCAGAGAACTTAGGGGAACAGAGGAGTCTGTGGCTGCCTCAGTGCCCAACATCCACAGAAACCTGGGAGATGCCCACTGGGAAAGTCACTTGCCTGGTGCAAAGCAGCTGCTTTATTGATGTACTGTTTAATTGTTTTGCTAAAGCAGCTGTCTCTGCCTTATTAATTTAGAAGAAATGACTGATTGAAGAGAAAACACTAATTCTAACCCAGACTTCACCTTGATTCTTTTTCCTTTGGGGCAAAGAGAGAATATCCCGTAACACTTCTCTACTTGAAATCACAGGGTCTCTTGAGGACCTGCCTTATACCTTGTCCTCTTGTCAAGAAAAAGGGATTTTTTTACAATCAACCAGATCCCACCAGGAGCTTCCTCATCTCCTCAGCATCCCAGACTCAGAACAGACGAGCTCTGTTAATTTAGAGCAGTTTGACAAAATATTCAGTTGAGGCCCCAGTGGAGTACTCGAGGAGTTACCATTCCACATCATTTGTCCTGCCTCTGTGAGAGCTACAACTCTTGACAGGTTTGGATTCCATTTCATTTCATTCAACAATTTTGTAACCATGGGTAACAGCACAACTGATGTGGCTCTGTGCTGCTGCAAGGAGGCTGTCGAGGTTGTCAGGTTTTAAAATCAACCTGCTTTGATGACTTTTCTCCTCTGCAGCATTGACCTTATGGAGTCTGCTCTGAAAAACTCGTTTAAAAATTATTTTCCTTTTTTTTTTGCAGCGTTTGAACTGAAAGCAAAATAGAAGTTGCTCATGGATACCTTTGCAAAACACTGGTACGTTGCCAGACGTGCGAGATCTGGCTTGTTCTAATATCTTCTCCCTAATAGAAAAAAATAAGTTTACTTTGTTCTGAAGTGTATTATGAAGGATGAGGTTCAGAACAGACTCTTCCTTCCTTCCTCTGACAGACAGGAGTGGAGGAGCAGTGACCTCTTGGAGTCTTTAAACCATTTGTCACTTGGGAGTGCAAAGGGGCTTTGCTTTTTCTTTTTTCTTCTTTCTGAACATCTGCCCTTGACTTCCGTGCTGGGAGGAGGGTCCCCTTTTCATGAGCATGTGCCAGCTGGTGGCCACATCCCATCTGCAGCAGCACTTACACCCCACTGACTGTGCACGAGGACTCTAATGTATTAAAATAATCTAAGGCAAAGGATAAAAGCACTTAAGCAACAAGCCCAAAGCAAAAGAATTATTTTAAATCCACTAAGTCGTTGTTTTAAATAAAGTTGTGCTCGTCTTGAGTCAAATGCTACCTCCCCCTTTAGTCCTTCCCTCAAAACTCTCCCCAAAAGTCCTCAGTTACAAGCCTCCCTGAATTTGCAAATGGATATTTGACATTCTTGGGACAATAGTAGAGACATGGCATTAAGCTGTAAACACTTTTTTTTTTGTCTCGAGCACTGTCTTGAAGACTCCCCAGAGCCTCTGGAAATCAGTCCAAGCTCCAGAAAGCATCCCCTGGGTGCTAAACCTGCTCTCTAAGCTTTAAATTGTCAAAAACCTCAAACAGAAGAAACACGTGCACAGCAACTGTGTTAGACCAGCAGCAACAGAAAAATGTTGAGGGCTCTAAGGATTTTCTCCTGCTCACACTTTCTGAGCTCTGTTACATGCTCAGACTTTGCTGTTCGGTCAGTTTTTTAAACTGGATGAGATTTTGGTCCCAAAAGTACCTGGGCACTTACAGGTGAGTTGTTTCTAATTAAACATCTTGCTGGAGACTGATGGCAGCTTCGGAGGGATCTTAATGAACGTGAAGCCAAATGTGGAGGGGCAGAGCTGGCAGGGAACAAAGCCATGACACCACGAGGTGAGGAGCAGAGTGTTCCTGCTTCCCCTGGCAGTGCAGGTAGGCAAAGGTTTCCAAATGTGGGGAAGGTGAGCACTGTTCTGGAAGGCTAAATTTAGCAGCGATTAAACGAGCTCTTAATTAACCAAATATTCCTCCTGCTCGCCTTTCCAAATTATTCAATAACTGAACAGTTATAATGAGCTCAGTACATAATTACCATCCATTCCAGGCATTGCCCTCACCAACTCCAGCCTTTGAACCCACCAGCTGTTAACGTGGGAGTGAAGTGCATCAGGTGTGAGTCAAATAATTGAAAACTAAACAGGAAAACCCCCCACAGGTTCCAAGGCAGTGTAAGGAAAATGCCCCCATGCTGAGCCTGTAACTGTGTCGTCCCTTCCAGACTGAAGATCCATCATAATCATCAGTGTGGGTCAGAGCTGCAGGACTGCATTTTCATGGGTGCTCTGGCAAGGATGTCGATGTTGCTGATGGTTGTTCTGCCTCACAAAGCTTCACAGAGCCTCCCTGGGGGCTAATGGGCAAGTCTAGGTGGGGAAGCCACCACCTTACTCACTGACCAGAAAGGGGAAAGCAGAAGGCAAAGCCCAAACCCTCTGAGAACATAAGATATTTCCAGCTGCAGCGGGGTAGAAGTTGTTTGGATTGTGAATTCAGCCATTTATAGGTCTGTTAAACAAGAACAAGCTCAAGGTGTATCGAAGCTTTTCACCCATGGTTTTTAAAACACATTTGAAGATGTTTCACAAACACTTCTTTTCACGGCTCATCAGTTGCATCAGTTCAGCTGCCTGGAGGTGGGCAGGGAACCTGATCAGGACACGAAATAATTACTTTTGATTGGAAAAAAAAAAAAAAAAAAAACAAAAAACCCCAGCGCTATAAAGTAAAATGACTTAATCCTTTAAAACTACAAGGCTGTGAAACCAGATGTACCAGCTTCACTGAGGGGACAGGAGTGGAAGGTGGAGTAAAGTTAAATCATATTCCTGGCTGTCACACAGAACTTGTCTAATGGAGTGGAATGATTTGCTTATAGCAGTCCCACTTGCAGGAACGTGCCAGCTTTCTGATCAGGTTGTGGAAATCAGTAGAGGCTTCTGCCTTCTATGTGGGCAACCTGAAACAGCTCTGAAATGCAGGAGGTAAGAAATTTCCCCAAAGCCTTGAAACTCTCCCAGGGTATCAGAGTGTGATGGGTGGTGGTTTTAGCTGTGGAGCAAAGCAAGGGTGGAGCAGAGTCCTGGGAGAGGCTCTGGATTGTTGCTGAGAAGGAAACGTAACACAAAGAAAGGACTGAACACGCAGGGACAGGGAAAAAAAGATAGGATTAAAATAAGAATGGCAAAGACAGCAATATGCTAAAAACAAACCTTTTACTGCACAAATAACCTAAACAGTCATTTTTGATCCATGATCTTTCTGTTCAAGCTCCTTCCAACACAGGCAGGAGATTCCATCTTTAGTGAGTGATGGGAATGCACATTGCTCAGGCAGACTCTGGGATAAGGTCTGTAACTGTACCTAGACCCTCCACAGACTGAGTCTCAAACACATGCCTTGGAGCTCTCCTGAGATAAACATTTACTGGAGAATGTGACAGGAGACAAAAATGTCCATTTAGATGTTGTTTTGATGATTTTTTTTGAGTTCTAAGCTAATGTGCTTCTGCCAGCGAGCTTTTCTATTTCATTCTGTGCCCTGACACTGCCAGAGGGGCAGGGACACCCCACTCCTGCTGCCTCTGTAACTCCTCGCCCTGCAGGTGGGTTTAGTGCTTATTGTGGAGTTTGGAGGCTCCTGGAGTGACTGGTTTTGCTTGTGAGCACAGTAAATAGGGCAAGAAGGGAGGAGCACTTGCAAGGAAGTCGGGCTGGGGCTTGGCTGCACCTGGAATGGGCACGTGGCTGTCACCAAGGCTGGTTCAGCACCAACATCCTCACAGGAGGTGAGATTTTAGGAAACCCTAAATCTTGGGCAGCTAAAAGTGCCTGGGCACATGCTTTCCCCCAGAGCCCCTCAGGTGCCCATCTCTCCTCCCCCTCCTACTTCCACACCAGGTGTAAACCCTTATTACCAGGGTCAGCGTGGAGCTGATGTAGCATTGCCTTCCTCAGGCTGCTCTCAGCCTCAAGCCATTTCTCTGTGCTCTCATTAATGAGTAATTCAGTGTGACACATTAATTATTTCACCATTTTGCAGGTAGCTGTTGAATCCTTTCTCCCCACGCCTGAGGCCCCTCTTGTCCTGCTCCCATGGGCCCCTCTGGGACTGTGAACACAAGAACTAGAACTGGGGGGACACAAACAGTTTCCCCACACCACAGAGTTACAGATTTAAAGTTTTTTTTCTTGCCTTTCATTGGGCTGAACCCAAAACTTCTTACTTTTTTTTCCTGAATAACAGACATAGACAGTGAATACCCAGAGCACACAATGCCCAGGAGAGAAAATACTCATTTATATGGATGGAGATAAAAGCCCAAGTGATGCTCCAGCCCTGTCCCCCATCCCTTCACTGTGGTTCCCCCACCATTTAAACCAGATCTGCAAGGAGCTCTTCCTCTACCACTGGGCACTGTAGGCTGTGGGGCTTCACTTTCTCATCCAGCCTAAGAGAAGTTGCTTGCAAAGACTGAGGCAGAGCTTTGAAGTCTGAGAGATGTTTGCCACAATAAACTCGCCTTTGTATTAAAACAAACAAACACATTGAAGCAGCCAAGCAAAGTTACTCCGTTGTTATTTCCTCTGCTTCTGTTGTTGGGAATTAATTGTGCTGTGCCTCAGGCAGGCGGAGGTTCCTCGACAGATTTAATCATTCTAAAAAGATGCCAACAACAAAATGACAGGGAAGTTCTGTTGTGTTTAGCAGTTGGTAATGAGTGTTGGGATAATTCTTTCTGTTCAGCCTCCTCTGCATGGATAACCTGCTGTTAGAGCAGCCTGAGGCACAGGCTCTGCCTTTTACCTCCACTGACCCCAGTGCTCCCAGCCTGTAATGTGGGGAAGAAAAGGCTCCCAGGAGGTAAAGAAGAAAGATTTTGCTTCTCTGCTGTATCTCCTGCTATTGTTTCTCACCCGAGGAAGGTTTTAGAGGGGGTACCGATGCACTGAAATGATGATGCTTTTATCAGGAGGCTGATTTCAGCTGCCATGGCTGGGGGTGAACCATCATCTTCACTGACCAGCTCCATAAATCAAATCCAGAGAAGTTCTGGGACACAGACATTTCCTCTGTCCAACCATGAATAGCTAACCTGAACCCTAAGTTATCCCTGCAAGGAGACATTTTCCCTTCCATCCACAGCATCTCTCATCCAAGGATTTCAGAACCTGTCACACAAATCAGTGACCTCCTAAAACACCCATATACAGACAGTGGAAATAATGTCACTGTTTTCTAGGCACTCAGTGAACAGCAGGACAAGAAGTGCCTTCCCTGAGGTAATTTTCTAGGAGAATCCAGGACTTCTGAGCTCCCCCCATTTCAGTCAATCTTCTCTTCAGCTCCAGCTGCCTCAACAGGCATCTCCAGCACCAACCCCCTGGTAAACCTCTCCTGGATTTTATTCACTGTCTTGCTCTAAGCCTTGCCTGAGTTATCAGCAGTGTCAGTGCTTTCAGGATGAGTGGCCTCAGAGCCCCCACCAGCAGGTGATGTGAAGGGACATAAACTGATCCCTTGAGTGGGATCAGGTAACCACAGTGACCACAGGGCAGGTGGGGGCTGCGGACTCCCTGTGTGTTCCTGCTACCAGTCCTTACTCTGGACACTGCCCAGGGGCAGAAAGCTGCTTTCAAAATGTGCTGGCCTGAGGTAACCAGGGCTCCAGCTGATTTTATAATAACGCCATTTCCGTAAGATATTCCCTTCTACGGTGTTAAATGAAAGGAAAAACCACAAAATCTGTTACAAAGAAAAAGCAGAAACTCAGTTTAAAGCTGGGGGTTACTGGGATTTTGAGGAGTGTCATGCTGGGAGCTGGCTGCCAGCCCATGCTCTCCAAAAGGAGGGTGCTGTGGGAGCTTGGCACAGGAATGGGGCTGCCTGTTGCTGGGCACAGCTTGTCTGGTGGGACCTGCATCTCTCTGGAGGTTTAGGTGTCCTCTCCATGAGTGTCTTCAGGGGTGCTGCTGCCTTTCCTCGTTTAGCATTTGTACATTACAGTTAGTACATTTGTACATTTACCTTCTCCACTCTTTCAGATATTTCGAGGATGGGTTCAGTGTACCCCGAGAAGTAATTGTAGTGCCTTATTCCAGGAGGCTCCATGCAAGAACCAGCCCTGTGCTTCTCAAATGCCAGGCTGATATTTAAGAAAACAACAGGCATAGAAGGGGTTGTGAATTTGCTGTGAATGTGATGGACGTCCCTGGTTTGCAGGAGCACACAGCTGAAGGGGTAACTGTCTCTAACAGGCTGTGTTTATGGACACACCACATTTAGCTTCAGGAATCTCCCTTGCTTTGTTTGGATGAAATCATGTTTGGTTCTAGTTAAGGATTCAGGAGCCGAATTCAAGATCCTAACGGGAATGCACAAGGAAAGACTAACAGGGACTGGCCAAAACAAGCTGGGACAAACTTGGCAGATTTTACTTCTCCAGCATTAGCCCCACTTTGGTTTTAGAACTGTTTCCTCTGCCAAGCACAGCTGATATCACTGGTGCTTTGATTTTGCACAAACTTATTTTACTACTTGTATTTCGATGGAGGGGTTTGGGTGGGATCTTCCACAGTATTGACGTTCAGCCTTCCCTAATAAATTCAACGAATGCTTCTTAACTCTGCACCTCATTTCTCACTGTAGAAGCATTCCTGGTGCTTACCAAAGTGTTCCATTCAAATTAAAATATAAATTATAAATGGAGAGAACCAGAAAAGTAGAGCCCAAATGCCAGAAGACTTCTACAGGATTCATTTCTCCCTTTCCTCTCTTAATTGTCCCTTTCTTGGGTTGGGGAACTAAAGGAAAATGTTACAGTTTTGCTATGGTATATTCCATTGGGAACTTTTTGTTTGGGGACAAGATGGCTCTAGTTGGGACCATACATCAGAAAACTCAGTTTTAACCATTTGAAACCTTCTAAAATTAACTCAATCTCCCCCAAAGGTGATATATGCCAACCAGAAACTCGGTGTGAGCAGAAAGCTGCATTCCTGAGCAGAAATATTTATGATTTTAAAAACCCCTTTTGAAATATGACCCATTTAGGATTTAAATATACCAATATCTAATATAAAATTAATGTACTAATGACTTTTTTCCAGTGTTGGGTGTCTGACAGAAACTTGTTGCATCCCAGAGGTTTGGCTGAGTGAGTGGTTGCGATTTTGCTCCGTCTGCTTTCACAAAGCTCAGTCTGAGCCATCCAACCCCACCCAATACTTTGCCACCAACTGACACATCCTTTCTCTCTGCTGAGCTTTAGACACATTCCCAAACAAGGGCAAAAAACTTGTATAATGATAATAACAATAACTTTAAAGGGTACTTATACCCTGTGGAGCTGCGGCTACTATTTTGAAGACAAAGCAATATATTTCTTCTAAGCCACAGCAATTAACTCTGAGTCTCTCTGTTCCCCAGAAAATCTTGAAACCAGCAGCAGAAACCAATATTATAAGGCAAAAAGCCCCAGCTGGGCTAAACTGTAGTTAATCACCAGCTCTGGGTGTCTCTGTGGGTGCTGGCTGGGAGGATGCTGTGCAAAATGACAGGATTCAAGTTAGTCTGGGTTTGGCATAGGAAGAAATGTGGGAGAGGGAAGTTAGTGCTTGGAAGTAGCTTTTCTCTTCTCAACACTCTTTTCCCCTCCAGGAGTTGCAGCAACATTCCACTTTAAAGCTGTTAAATGCTCTTATGTAGTCGGGTTGTGTCCTGATTCTGTGCAACTGTTTGTGTTTTAAAGCCTGAACTAAAAAGCAAACTGTCTTCCCGACACCTCGGGATGGGAGATCGTTGCTGCCACCAGAGGGACTCCGGAATGCGACGGGAAAGCCGGGAGTCCTCTCCTCAGACAAACTTCCCAGCAAAGCTGCCTGACTTTCTGGGGCTGCCCTGAGGGTTTCTCAGGTTCTGCGTTATCTGTTCCCACGGCTTGAGGGCTGGGCTCTGGTGTGAGGTTTATGCACTTTCTCCTCTCATCACACTGGTGATTATGAATAGTTTATAACACATTATTCACTCAGTCATCCTGCTCATTCTCCTTGGTTAATGCAATGGCAGCAAGTTGTGCATCTTGCTGGTAGCCGAAGGTACAAAATGCTCATAAAGTGCCCTTTCTTTCACTGGTTTCCCTGGTATTTAGTCACACACTCAACACCAAAATTGCCTGCTAAAACAGGAGTGTGAAAAAGTTAATTATTTGGTCAGATTTATGATTGAATTGTAATGTGGGGCTTTTGAGCGTTGATTGCCAATTCAGTTTTAAAAAGTGAGGAGAAAGATGTTAAGAAAATGTGTGACTGAAGGTAAAGGCTGCAACAATTCCATAAGGTTCAGATGGATTCTCACCTGTCCCACAAAGGACTGGCATTTTGGCTTTTCAAGTGAAAGTGGAAAAATTGCCATTGCAGCAGCAGATACCACCTGAGATCAAAGAAAGAGAGAACACTCAAGATGAAACTGCTTTTCTTTCACAGTTCAGGTGGGCTTCCTTTTTTTGTTATAAATCCCTAAATCCTAAAGGGTGTTGGAAAATATTTTCTAGTGATTAAACTATTTTCTTTCCTGCAAAGCATGTAGGCAGTTTTGCAGTGACAGCCTCTGTCCCATCAAGAAATAGGATGTTGCCTTTGCTAAAACTCCCATCTCCCACGTTGCTGAAGAAGCAGCTGTGTCACTGAACCTGCAGCAACCTTACATTTGTAATAAAAACCCCCAAAGCATTAAGAACCACAGGATTACAATGATTTGGGTATGACAAATGATCCCAGGTTACACAGAGCTTGATTTCCTGGAATGTAGAATAGCCAAAGTCAAATTGTTTTCAAGGAACTCTCCATGTGTTGTCCAGTTACAGCCCAACTGACCCTGTAACTCAGTCCTGGCCTGAGATGATTCAGATTTACCTGAAGTGGAACAAAAATACAAAGAATTTGCCAAGTCTCATCATCCAGATTCTGGTTATGTGTCTATCTCAATTTCTATACACTTCTGTGACCTCTGTGGTTGTGGACACGAGATGTTTCTAATCCATGATTTTGGGAATCCTGACTCATCCTTTTCAGTGCTGAGGACAGGTAACACCTCTCCCTCTTGTGGGAAATTGCCTGAGCTGCCTTACAGCAGGTTTGCATGGCCTGCACACAGGGAAATGTGCTTAGGAATGCTGAGATCCCAAAGCTAAACCAACACCCTCCCCAAAATTCTCTGGGTACAGGTAAAACACAGCAGGTAAAACTACCCCTATAGCTTTGTGTCAGCCCCAGACAGGACTCTGTGCTCCAGACAGGCAGCAGCAATCCCTTTCCAAAGCGAGCTACCAGATTAATCTGGTTTTGTTCTTAAAGGAAGATACATGAAGACTGTCTCCTCATTCCCAAAACATGAGCACACCAAGAACAGCCAAGGATTGCCCAGTTACAGAGAGGAACTCAGTTAGAACATCTGCTCTTGCAGGATATTTATGAAGTGGATCAAACCTACTGACTTCTGGCAGTTTCACTGGTCTGATGGCACAATAAGAGGGATGTTGTTTATGTAATTCATCTTTTAAATTGAGCTCTGATCCCCAGGAGTACAAGAGGCTCCTGAGGAGTCGTGTTTGTGAAGGTCTGAACTGTGTCTGCTCCCTGTGCTGCTGCAGAGTCATCATTCATCACACACAGCAGCATCCTGGGGCTGCTGGCCAGTTCTGTGTGTTAAACAGGCTCCCCTCAGCCCCAGTGACGTGCTCTGTGGGCATCATCCAATGGACTGGTTCTCTGGATGGAGTAACCTTGGAAGGGTTTATCAGAGCCTGATGGGAGAGAGGAGCAGGGCTGGGATGGGGCCGGGATGAAACACACTGGCTGAAAAACCCGGTGAGAGACAAATGTCATGGACTCACAGCCTGGTCTGGGTTGGAAGGAACCTCAAAGCTCATCTTGTTCCACCCCCTGCCATGGGCAGGGACACCTTCCACTAGCCCAGGTTGCTCCAAGCCCCGTCCAACCTGGCCTTGGACACTTCCAGGGATGGGGCAGCCACAGCTTCTCTGGGCAACCTGGGCCAGGGCCTCACCACCCTCACGGGGAAGAATTTAATCCCAATATCCAATCTAACTGTGCCTTCTTTCAGTTAAAGCCATCCCCACTTGTCCAGTCACTCTAAGCCCTTGTCCACAGTCCCTCTTCAGCTCTCCTGGAGCCCTTTAGGCACTGGAAGGGGCTCTCAGGTCTCCTTGGAGCCTTTTCCTCTCCAGGCTGAACACCCCCAGCTCTCCCAGCCTGGATCCAGAGCAGAGGGGCTCCAGCCCTTGGAGCACCTCTGTGGCCTCCTCTGG